CTACAATTCTGAGAACTCATTTTCAGATTCATAGTTAGGAACTATCAGCAAACTTTCCCATCAGACTAAGCACCCCTTGTGCTTCTAATGTCTTGAACAATGTAGATCAGCATTGATGCCTCCTTACCCTGTGAAAGCTGAACATCACTTATGGTTCGTTCCTTGTTAAAGCAGCTATTGGTCTTTAAAATGTCTGTTGCTTTTTCTCCTGTTTTTTTTCAGACATTACTGGTATGGTACCTTATAAAAAATTTATTGAAAGTCTAAGTACATTATTTCACTCTTTACACAAGTTTATTGATTCCTTCAAGTAACTACTGTATATCTGAATGGTGACACTACTCCTATACTGACTTTTCCTCATTATCTTATTTATACTCATGCCTGCTGATTTATTCTTTACTGACATATCAACCAATTTACTCATGCAGACTTGTCTATCACCTGAAATATTTCTTTCCACATGCTTTCTGAACTTTAATAATGAATAGAGCAGGCTCTGATCTGGAGGACAGGCTTTCCCCTGTCTCCCTCCTAGGTGCCTCTCAGAGATAGATGTGCTGCCTGATGCTTTCCCTGGTTTATTCCTTCCCGCATTCCTGAGCTTGCCTGGCACCAGGAAGAACACCTTTTCTAAAGGAAGTGTGCTGTAATCCAAAGGGAGGTGGTGAGGGACCTGCTCCAACACCTAGATGCAAACAAGTCTATGGGACCAGATGAGATCCACCCAAGGGTACTGAGGTTGCTGGCAGAAGTGCTTGGGAAGCCACTCTCCATCATTTACCAGCAGTCCTGGCAAACTGGGGAGGTCCCAGCTGACTGGCGTCTAGCAAATGTGATGCCCACCCACAAGAAGGGTCGGAAGGATGATCCGGGGAACTCCAGGCCTGTCAGTCTGACCTCGGTGCCTGGGAAGGCCATGGAACAGACCATCCTGGGTGCCATTATGCAGCGCATGAAGGACGCCCAGGTGATCAGGCCCAGCCAGCACGGGTTCACGAGGGGCAGGTCCTGCTTGACAAACCTGATCTCCTTCTATGACAAAGTGACCCACTTGCTGGATGAGGGAAAGGCTGTGGATGTTGTTTATCTGGACTTCAGCAAAGCCTTTGATACAGTCTCCCACAGTGTCCTCCTGGAGAAACTGGCTGCCCATGGCTTGGATGGGAATACCCTCCCCTGAGTTAAAAACTGGCTGGAGGGCCGTCCCAGAGAGTGGTGGTGAATGGAGTCAAATCCAATTGGCAGCCAGTCACGAGTGGAATATGGCCAGAAAAGTGCATAGATAGGTGTCAGACAATGACATTCGATTAAAGATAGTTGAATTTTTTTTTCAATTACTCTTTAAAAACCGTAACTGAAAGTCTTGGTTTTTATAGAAATACATTTGTACATTAAAAGCACACGTCTCGAAGAATATTTTATATTTGGTCACAAATGCTTTAAGTTATGAGAAACTATTTCCTGACCAGCTTCCCACTGTGTCCAGTTTTGGGCCCCCTACCATAAAAAAGACATTGAGGTGCTGGAGCAGGTCCAGAGAAGGGCGACAAAGATGGTGAGGGGTCTGGAGAGTAAGTCTTATGAGGAGAGGCTGAGGGAGCTGGGGTTATTCAGCCTGGAGAAGAGGAGGTTGAGGGGAGACCTTATTGCTCTCTACAACTACCTGAAAGGAGGGTGTAGAGAGATGGGGGTCGGTCTCTTCTCTCAAGTCACAGGCACATTGGAATGGGCTGCCCAGGGAGGTGGTTGAGGCACCATCCCTGGAGGTGTTCAAAAGACGGGTTGGTGTAGTGCTGGGAGGTATGGTTTAGTGATGGTGTTGCTTTTTGTTTATTGTGCGCGTGTCTATTTTTGTCAGTTAAGCTGACGGTTGGACAAGATGATCTTTAAGGTCCCTTCCAACCTAGAAGATTCTGTGATTGAATTCACTGCCAATGTCAGCTTTTGACATTTGTCTCCCCAGAAATTTGTCAAACACCTCCCAGTTCTTTGGCAAAGATCTTTGCCCATGGCTGTTCCCTCAGCCTCTCCTTCTTGACATCCTGTCACTTCTGCCCCTCTGCCCTCTTAACAATATCTGAGAGTCTGCATTCGTTTTCCTCTCTTTTCCTGCAAGTTATGCTCTCTTACTTGCCCTACATGTCTGCTGAGATGATGGCAAGTGGCGTGGTTCTGTTGTAGCATGGTTTATCTACACTGAGGTGGATCAACATCAGAGTACACTTTCCCCATTTGTTTTTTGGGAGAGAGGTTGCTATGAGAACAAGATCAAGGGTACCTAATTCAGCTTTTGTGGAGGATATCTGCAATCTTGCAGAAGCATACATGAAGTCTCTGGATTTGAAGGAAAATTCAAATAATCCACTGTTGTTTTGTTTTTCTGCCACTCAACACACATATTATAACCAAGATCTTGGAAAAGGAGACACTAGGACATGCAAAGACAGCTTCTCCTCATGTACTGTGTAACTGTCACCTAGTGTATGTTGTAGCTGTGTATGTAAGATGTGGCAGAAAAATTACCTTCATTGTCGACTTTTGGTATCTATTTCATCAAGCAGTAAACTGTCACGCCTTCTGCAGTAGAATTTTGCAGAGGTGATGGCTGCACAGCACCTAATAGCAAACTTTTCCTTCTCTGTAAACCACAATTCTTCCCCTTATGCCCCCATTTTCTAGGACCTTTTCCTTTGTATGAGGACTTTCCTTTGCCCTGAAGCAACCACAGGTAACTTGACATAGCCACCTATGCTCCTGCTGAACGAACAATGAGCACGTCATCCTGAACTGGGCCTAATGTACTCATTATTGATACGAGCTGAAATAGCCGATAATGTCATGCTTTCTAAAATGTGAGTTCGGAGAAAGCTTGCTCTCCCTTCTCCGCACACAGTTTTGTTATTTGCTGCCAATGCCAGGAAACTCCAAGCAATGTGAGAGTCTTCCACAGGTGCGAAAGTCTGAAGGGTTACAGGAAGCAACTGGGAATATTCATTAGCCTACACTGCCAACGGCTGAGACTTGGTGGAAGTGAAAAATCATCTGAACTGCTTTCAACCACAGTATCCTATTTCTTCATGAGGGCAGTTCCTTCTCTCTAGCCTGACATAAATATTGATTGGGAAGTTAGTTTCCCCAAGCCAACTGATCTGACAGTGATGCTTTTATTTGCTTCTCCAAAAGCAGGCTGTGTCAAATTGCGTCGTATTTTCTCAGTAATATCTATACATATTTGGATGGAAAGAGGCCAGTGAGAACTTTTACATACACTCTACTTTTCTGAAGTGGTGGTTATACCTTCTGAGATTTCTTTCTTCAAAGCATTTCCCTGATTCTTCCTTATCGTTTCTATTCCTCTTTAATAACATGTGTGTATTATTAAAGTTAATGGTGGCAGAGATTTGCATGGACACTTGCTGAGCAGAACCACTGCACCTCAACCTAGAACTATCCCAGGTCCTGGTTGTGCAGCTGCACACGATGGCTGAGCTATGTGGCAAACTGAGATTGGCTCATCAAGAGAGCCACATCACCATAAAACCAAAATAATTCCTAAGTTTCCAAGAGTACCTGCATGACCTCATTTCTTCTGATGGCCTTAGCAGGAGCTTAGGATAACAGTGTAGATGCCCATCTATCAAGTAATTTAAAGGTTTTAAATGGTAGACATGATTATCAGCTCTTTATCCACAGAAACAATAGAATTAAAGGGATTAAACAACAGTTGTTGAACAACATGGAAAGGCTACTGCTATTTTATTTGCATTGTGGAGATGATTTCCTTACAATCCACGATATGTGTTTGAGCTGTCAACTTTAAAAAAAACACACACAGTATTGTTCTATGTATTTTCCTTCTCTTTTTTTTTTTCCCCAGAAGTATGCATGCATTGAGAAGACACCACAACCATCAACAGCAAAAGATATAAATCCTCTTACTCCTATCTTTTGGAAAAACTCCAAACTTTGCCTCGCTCTGCTCTCTCTTTTTTGCAAACTGCCTTTTAAATTTCTACAGCAGGTTTTTTTAAAAAGACATTAGAGAAGTATATAGTATTACAAGCCTACGGCTTCACTTGTTTATTCTATTGCAGTAAGTTGTCCCCCAGGTATCCTGGCCACACACTGGTAGCGGTTAGCCTTAACCTTTAATACTTTTGCCTAGACTGGAATTTCTTGTACAGAAGTATCAAGTGGCAGAAATACAGCTAATGGTACACTATGCTCCTCCAAAGGTCTGCCTGCCTATCTTACTGTCCTGTGCCAGAGGAAACAGATGATCACAAACATTCAAAACTGCCAAAAGACAGGATGAATGTCCACTCACCACTGTGCAGGTTATTGTAGTTATTTAATCTTATTTGAACTCTTCAGGAACACACGGCCATCAGCAAGGATTAGATGCTTAACACAGTATAGACCACATGAATATGTACTAAGAAAATGTCACATTACATGTGTTTGTGATCACAATAGAAGGCAACCTAATGAAATATCCTTAGGTCTCCTTTAAAATTATAACTGAGAGAACAAACTAGGATATATTTCTATCTCCAAGATAAATGCACAGATTTGTCTTCATGGGAAGACTAACACCATTTTAAATGTTTTGACACCTTATGCTTCATCAAAAATTAAGACTGTCTCAGTGGGTGGGATCTACCCTGCTGAATTCCAGCTTCCATTTAGGCTGCGACTTTCTACAGGAAAATAATCCTTCCCCACCATTAACAGAGAAAACAGAGGCAATGCGTTCCTAACTTACATGTCCAAATGACAAGGGATGAATCCATGCCAGATGCAATACGTGCATTCAGAAAGGAATGTACCAAACTGTCTTTACTCAGATCTATAACTTTCTAGGTACTCAAGCAAACATGCATGTTTGGTCTAAAATAACATCTGTGGCTATGGGTAAATAAAAAGAAATTACCGAGTCTGATTTTAAGTCACCAAGCATACGTTCACGTTCCACTTCATGGATTTTTCATGGTTAAATTTATTGGAATTATTTTTCAATACAACATTATTAATTCACACTACTCATAACTACTCTCATTGTTATTGCATATACATCAAACATACAGAGGCTATACATCTTACTGCTCAAGCGAAACAATGAAACTAGTGACCACAGAGTATAAAATCAGAATGTAAAACAAGGCAAACATGATAAAAGTATTAGGGTCAGTAGCCTTTCACTAAAAAAATAGATTTTGCTGTAAAGCTTCCTCTGAAACTTTTAACATATTGCAAACGAGAAAAATGAACTGCAATATGGTAAACAATTTTTTTCCTTCAAGGCACTGTTACATAACGTTTAATGTCAATTTGAAAATAATTCATGAAGTCAGTTGATAGAAATAATACCCTAATAATAAAACAGAACAAAAATCTTTATTTGTTCAATGAAAGGCTGAATGGAAGAGCAAATCAGATGAAGTTTCCATATAGAAGAAAAGCAATCATAATGTTTGAATCTGAAGTTTGAAATCTTATGAAATTCAACTACAAAAATGAACTCATGTCAACAATAAGTTTGGACAAGTCAACATATTTAGTAACAAGTTGTAAAGCTTGGAACTGAGGTATTTTTTTCATAAAGAATTGTTTAATGCACTATATATGCACATGTTCTGGCATAAGAAAGTAACAAGAGTGCAAAATTATTTAAAACCAGTGGAGAAACATTTTCAAAGGACACAACTTCCAATTCTCTTATGAAACATATTACTTGGATTTGTGGTTTCACCTGTGTAAGTTCTTAGCAATAGCAGATTGGTTTCAGTTACCATACAGAACTTCCTATGCAAACACTCTGAATGGCACAGCTAAAGAACCCACTGAGTCTCCTACAGATTTGCACTTACCTTCCCTGTATGCATCTAATTTCAAATTATCTCAGCTTCTGCCATCTGTCCCTTGGGACCCCTGTAGAGTACCTGGAGGTTCTTTCCATGTCCCTAACAACCATTCTCAACTGGTCTCTTCCGCAGTCCTTGCCCCCTCCTACTTTTGAGGAGCTCCCAGCTAGAACTGCAACAGGATGTAGTTAATTGCGGTCAGCCGGCATGTGCTAGGTAACTCAACATTTAGAATCACTCAGTTGAAAAATTCCCCATACAGAGAAGGCACCAATCAAGTTTCTTCCCGATTTTAGTTGCTCAGTAGCGTTGAAAAGTTTTGACAGTTAGTTTAAAGGCAGAATATAAAGCTTATTTTCTTTGGCTCAAAAAACAGAGGCACACAGATGCAGATTTCAGTATCAATATTGATGTGTTTTTCCACTCTTCCTCATGACTGACAAATGACCCATAAGCTACTCACTTAATTGCCTTGTCCCACAACTGGGCAATCCGTAGGTCTCTGGCCTAAGGAAATACACATACAGTTCCATTTGAGCTGACAGCTTGGAAGCTCTTCTAATATTTGTCATGCTTCACTAGGAATCTGGTCTCACAGTTGTCTGTGTCTACCTCAGACCTATGGAAAGGAGAAATTTGCAGTGACCAGTTCAAAGCATCACAGAACAGCCTTTCAGGATTCATTTGCAGACTTTAATCTTTTTCTCTATGAAATGGATAAGGCTTTTGTTGGTATAGAAACCAGTAACATATCACCTTTTGCAACAAAACAAAAGATTTGGAAGACAAGATTTGCCCAACAAATGTAATGGTTAGACCCAGCCTAGCCATACGTCAATTATTACATAATATTTGTTATTAAAATTAATTTTGCAAATCCTTACACCTAGCTCTAACTGCTGTTTGAATTAAATATCTTCAGAATTGTTTTGGCTCTCATTTGGTACCTCTTGGCTTGAATGCAACAAAAAGTCATTGCCTAGAGAATTGGTTTTTTGAAGTTGCGCAGTTTTTGTTCTATTGAAGGCTATGAATGAAACATATATACAAAGCAACTGCACCAGGAATGTTTTGAACATATACAACATGTATTTCTCATAAAACACATTTCTAGATTTCCAAAGCTTCCTAGGTGGTATCTGTACTAGGGAAGTAGGGTTTATGTCTTTGGCATAATTAACGGTCATAACTTCAATTATGTAATATTATTTAGTATTGTTTGTTATTCCCTCTGTAGAGGAACCCAAGAAGATTTGAACGTAGGCAGATATATGAGGAATAATGCAACTTCCCCAAGATGAAGAAACTGCTTGCCAATGTAAAAATAAACACCAAAGCCCTTGCAGACATGCCAAGCAGAACATGCTTGCTCAAGACAAAACTACAACTACAGCAGCCAATTTGACCAAACTCTAATACAGTCCAGACAGGAGGAACACACGTCATATATCTAAAATCCATCATTAATCCAGGTTTTCCAGTTCCTGCCTGCCTTCACTGCAGCCCTTGTTGGCTAACACCAAAAAGAGTATCTTTCCATGTAACTTTCTTAAGTTGACCAAGACTTCGTACCACTATTTCATGATCAGGTAGGAACACTCAGTGAAGGTAGAAATAAGTTGTTACCATTTCTATTTAAAATGTGGGATTTTTTCCAGATATTACCTAGCCTCATTTTTGTTGCATTTTGGTTTATTCAGAACTAATTCTTAGATCTATAAACAAGCTTACTTTTTAACTACCTAATTTCCTACAAAAAAGCCTACTGTCTAAAAAAATAAAATGGTTTGTTTCAAACAATTAATATGCAGGATTAAATATTTTTAAACTGCAAACATATACTTGCTAAAACAAAAATGCTGTTATATCAATGATAAATTCATATAAAAACCTGTAAATGCAGTCTGCTTTTTATATTGCATAGAAACTCCAAGGCAAAATACAACAAACACAGTATATTAGCAAGGGAAATCTTTATCAGTGTTCAGCCCTGACAGTCAATCCCTTAATGCCTACATACTTCCCATCATTTTTTCATTTGGACTTTAACTTTTAGTGGTTAAAGCTGCTGAGTAAGTTATGAAAAACCAAAGAGGATAGATCAGACCAGATTTTTTTGCCCCCATTCCCCAAAAAACAGTCAATGCCAGGCTTCTGATTGAAAACATCATAAATATAAAAACCTGTAAATGCAGTCTGCTTTTTATATTGCATAGAAACTCCAAGGCAAAATACAACAAACACAGTATATTAGCAAGGGAAATCTTTATCAGTGTTCAGCCCTGACAGTCAATCCCTTAATGCCTACATACTTCCCATCATTTTTTCATTTGGACTTTAACTTTTAGTGGTTAAAGCTGCTGAGTAAGTTATGAAAAACCAAAGAGGATAGATCAGACCAGATTTTTTTGCCCCCATTCCCCAAAAAACAGTCAATGCCAGGCTTCTGATTGAAAACATCATAAGAACAGTAAAATTGAAAAAAAAAAAAAAAGGAAGGGAATTAAATGTTAACTTTTATTTTTCTGTATGCCCTTATTTATGTTCAAAGAGAAATTATCAGTTTGAGGAAATTCTATTTAGATGCTTTTTCCTTCGGCTTCCCTAGGCAGCTTGCAAATGCTGCCTGTTTTTTCTTACATTTCTTGTTGAGATAATAAATTTTTGAAGACTTTACTTTTCCCTTTCTTAAGAAGGCAGCTTTTCTTATTTTTCTTTTGGATTAACAAGCAAAGGCTGAATGCATAATGTAACTAAATGGTATATTTAGAATTATGGCAACTTCGATATTGCTTTAGAAGAGCTAAGTCATAACAGCAGCATCACAAATTTATATAAGAGAGAAGTGGTATTCATGTTGCTTTATCCTATAGCCTGAAAATTTCAGCTGCTGAAGACCTTCTCTTTGCTCTGAGAGGAGTTTAAACCACAATACAGTAGGCTGCAAGAAGTAAGAGTACTAACTAGATAGAATGTATGACAAGAACCACACAGATATATTTTTGAAATTTCTGTGTTTTGTATAAATTATAATCACAAAACTTGTTTTGCAGCCCTTAGATCCTGCAGTAATTTGTACAAGCATAAGGAATTATTTCAGTTATATTATATGGTACTGTATCCCCTTTGCTTTTTTCATCTACTCTGAAACACTGCTGCAATATCTGATCAGTCAGTATTTAAGTGTTCAGTCTATTTAGAATTACAGTATAGTAGCACAGACATATGGCCAGGCATCTTAAGAGAATTTGTATCTTGAAGTCTTCAGAATGTACCTATATCCCTTTTTTCATTTAAATGGCACTAAGAAAAGTTTAAGTGAAGACATTTTAGTGTTCAGAGCAGATTGCAAAACTGTTAATGTTTCATTTAAAAATGATAAAGATTTCCCTTTCATTGTTTCTTTGGTAAAAATGTCTGTCACATTCACTTCACTTGCTAGTAAAAGGCATTTTCTTTGGTGAGAATACTTTATCTTGCAAGCCCAGCTTTATAACATGTAGATAATAGGCCCATTTTGTATTACCCGTTCATTCAGTGAGTGCAAGGTCAGTTTTGATTTAGGACATAAAATCAAACAGGTAAGTCCTAAAACAACTGAAAGCCTGATCACATAAAAGTCACCTTTAAGTAGCAAACTGACAAACAGTGTTACAGACAGCAAAGGTTTAAATGCAGTATATCAGAATGCATTATTGTCTGTATAAAATGAGCAGTTTCACAACTATTTTAAAAGCATTTTATTTCTCGTAAGTGTAGAGGAGTTATAGTGGATGTTTAAAATGCATAGCCCCATACATCTTCTGTAGCTTGCGATGATTTCCGCTTCTGTTGGCTTAAATCCCCTGAATTAAAAGAGAATAAACACATTTCCTTATAACATTAATACCGTTATTTTGTTGCTTAATGTTTTCCCATATTTGTTTGAAAATAAATTCATTCCAATGTATACTTTCCAAATTTTTTTGAATGGTTTAATTTGCGAATCAGAATCCTTAGTGATTCACTGAGCATCATAGGCCAGAATGACGTTACAAGAATAGAGCCTTAGATCCAATATGGGATAAATCTTTGGGAACTTAAGTCACAGCAATCAACAAGAACATGCAGGAGACAGAAGAAAATACATTCTTGGAAAGTATTTGCTCTTGATTGTTTTCTGATTTGTTACTCTGTTTATATGAACTTCACCTGACACTTTTCTGTTCTTTAAAACAAAGGGTACAGAAACAATCTTCCTTCAGGTAGATATCTTGTGATGAAGAAAAACAGTAACAGCAGTGACATAAGTGCAAAGTCACTTGCACCTTTCATTTTGAGAGACTGGGGTGCCAGATGCAGAGGCGGAATAACGTGGGGAAATAGTTAGAGTGCGTAGGATTGGTCCTCAACTGACAGACCATCCTCTGACAAGCACTTCCAGCTGGCACAAGTAGAAGCAGCCTGTAATTAGACTGTAAAGAGGGCAGAGAATCAGGGAAGTTCATTAGCTTCCACAGGGTTACATATCCTCTGCTAGCTGCTTCTACCCCTAATCCCTTCAGTCACGATCTATTAAGATCTGTCTTCTGTTCTAAAGTCCTATAATCCTTTGTTTTGTATCTCTGGTACTGCCACATTCCCACTTGGTAGTACAGTTGCATCCTTCCTCCATAGACTCACTTGACACCCAAAAATACAGCCTGAACGAGCAGGATTTTGGATACATCAGCAATTCTAACACATCTCAGCACCCACCCTGGCATTCACATAAATGTTTCACAATCAGGAGCCAAGCGATTAAGCAGGTTAATCTGGGTCCTATTTTAAGAACTGCATGGGTAAACAGAACTGTTAGACCACAATGGTGGAACAACAGTATTGAATTAAAAGGTTTTGGACTCACTTTCTTCCTGTTATTTCATTAAGAATGACCATATATTGTTTTATTTAAACAATGGCTTTATTACTATGTTGTCCCCACATCAAAAAAGAACAGGTTGGGATGGTACAGTAGATTTCTGCCATTGTATCAGGCCACACAAGAGGAAAGTAAACACTAGTCTCTTACTTACCTTTTCGGAACAGGATTAAATTCTCCTGTGCCTAGTGCTACTGTTTTCCAGACGGTACAGTAGATTTCTGCCATTGTATCAGGCCACACAAGAGGAAAGTAAACACTAGTCTCTTTCAACTCTTACTTACCTTTTCGGAACAGGATTAAATTCTCCTGTGCCTAGTGCTACTGTTTTCCAGACCATTGTTTTCTTCTGATTTACTATAAAAAGAGAGGTTAAATTTCAAAACTCAACTTTTATGTTTATGTCATTCCAGTCCCACAATCCAATCAAAAAGTACATCCTAAAATGTATTTTATTTACTCTTTAAGCATGTGAAGTTATACAAAACAAGATTAAACAAAATTTAAAGAACCAAAATAATGACTAGAAGTTTTTCAGCCAAGTAGTAAAGGCTTAACTCAATCCCCTCAAAAATCCCCCAAAGTTCTGGGCAGAAGTCATAACAGGGATAGTATTCCCAGAAATTATTGCTACACTATCATTTCATTCAGTGCATAGAATTTGTATATAAAGTGAATGTTCAAATAATATACAAGTAATATACAGCTCAACATCCTCAGAATATGGGCTGAAACAGTCATGATTGCTCCTTCTGGAGTACCTACCACTAGTTATATGGTGTTGGTCACAACCAGACTTGAATTAACAATTCTCTTGCTAAAAAAAAAAGTATTCTATTCCCAAATATTAGCCTCCCACCTAACACACTGTTGGATATGGCATTTTAATTATAGCCTCCTCAACCAAGTTCAGTTGTGTATTAGTCATTGCTTGTCATAACAGACCAGAAAAGTTCCTTTGAAGCCATTCTCTCTGGTTCACTAATCTATCTTCTACATAGTCAGTAATTGAAATAACTTTCAGTTACTAAAATCAAGCAAGAAATACATGGTTTAATAGACTTTCCACATATGCATTTACCTAAGATAGAACTCCAAAGGAAAGCTCAAGCAGCTGATCAAAACCACATCCCACATCTCATAAAGTAGGAAAACATTATTTTAGTCCCCTGTACTCTTAAAATCCTATTGTAGTACAGTTTCAGCATGTTTATAAGAAGCAGGGCTATGCAACAAGGGTAATTATTCAATTTTCAACCCAAGACATATCCCCAAACACTCAGCAGTATAACAGCACACTATATTCCCAAGACATATCCCTACTTTATAGTATAATTGATTTACAGCTTTAAAGCTCTTTAGACAAGAGGAAAAGCACTAAAATATGTTTTCAACTAGCACTGGGAAAAGGTATGGGAAAGCAAATACAACCCAGGGAAACAAAGAAGGTCACTGCAGCAAGAAATTAAAAAAGGGAAAGACAGCACTACTCAGAGGGAAAAAGAGGTAGATAGACATAGGAGAAGGGAATAGACTGAGGGGAAAGAAAACTGGAATAGACTGGACACATCTAAAGAGAAGATGAACTGCTAGGCTGCATCTTAAAACAAAAGGAAAGTTAACAGGTCAATTGAAGCAACTAGGCTTCAAAAGATGGACAGATAGAGAGAATTAGAAGTTACTTCAACAAGCAAGCCTTTAGAAATGCATAATCCTAAGCAGGGGCAGCCAGCACAGGAGCACCAACCCTCAAGCAGCAGAGCACCAACACAAGTGCCTACATCTGCTCCTTTGGCTCCAGCAGTGCAACCCTTCCTGTGCCCAGGGAGCCTGAGCTACCACCGCAGTGAGAGGCCCCACCAAAGAGGTTGGGGTTACCACCAAACCAGCCAACACCACCAGCTCCCAACACTCCAGTAACTCCAGCTTACCTAGGACAGCTGGGGCTTTGACCACATGCAAGTGAGAGAAATGTATGTTAATACGGGCAAAAAAAATGCATATTAAAAACATTTCACAGCCTGTTCTGCAAAATTTCCACCTGAAAATGATTTTCCTCACAGTTACAGCCTTTTAGAATGAGTTTATAATGAGGACACATGATGCCTCATAAGAAAGTGAAATAACTTCCAAACACCAGAAGTAGAAAACAGCATTCTGCACACTCTGGAATTAGGAAGTGTCAAGGAAAGTAATAAACTGTACTTTCACATTCATCATAAAACATTACCCACTGGGTCAACAACAAGGTATAATTTTATACAACACACTGTAATATGCAAAAGAGCAAATACTTAACTATAGTATATAAATTTGTTACTTACAGTTGCTCAACTTGGTCAAATTCCTTTTCATCTTCTGCATAACAAAAAGAATTATAAGGTGTCAATTTAACAAACACTAGAAAAGTTATTGCATTTAATTATATTATTTCTTCCAGATATAACCAAAGCAAAGTCTTATTTTTTCATTTTATTAGTTTTATTAAATTTGCAATTCAAATTATGGTTACTCTATTAAATGAGATTACCCACAAATTTGTCAAAAAACTTACTTTGATAAAGTTTTATTAATCTGCTTTTAATACCCATCATGTTATATAATACATAATGTATAAAATATAGAAAAATACTTATGTATGTATAAAGCACAGACACATGTATAAAATCTATGTATATACATCACTTTTGTTTTATCTTGCACATCTAGTTTGGGTCACCTATGTACGCCGTAGTTTCAGCAACCGAAATTAGTACATCCTATTTTAATGCATTTTTTTCCCTCTTACTCAGTTTCCTGATAGAAGTTTCGCCCATCAAGATGGCTAACAGCTGGTTCTATTCCAAAGCATTGCCCAGACAGGGATAGCCTTTAAATTCCCTTGTCTTTAAGGAAAAGCTAAGGACTATATCAAACCCTTTATGGGAAAGTATTGCTTATTGAAAGCACTTTGTGTCTGAATTCAAGGCTCACGGAAAAATCTAAAATAATGCAGTGTTCTAGAAGAAAGTATTTTATCAAAAAAAACCACAGATGTAAAAATCACACTGAACATCATATATGAAGTGCTATGGGTCATGCCTTTCTACCTTTGGCTGCAGTTTCAGTGGCAAGCTAGAAAAGACTAAAAGAAAAACCATAAACACTTACCTGCACATTTCTCTTTCCTTTTTGAATATATCTCGTAAAGGAAAACAATAGTTACTAAAATAATAGCTTCAGCCACAATTGCTAGAAAGGGTTTGAGAGGCACCATGAAGGACAGAACTTTAAGCTTCAGCTTTCCTTTACTTTTCCCTAGTTCAAAAGCAGCTTCACACCAATATACACCATCATCTTCCTTGGTGAGCTGCAATACCTTCAGATGGGTTACGTTGGCAGATACTCTATTAATTGCATACTTGTCTGCCAGCAAAGAGTCATTAATGGCAATCTGAAAACAAAAAAAAATAGATTAAAGTTCTTATTAATGCAATGAGAACATGTTAAACAAAGTATTTATATTCTCAGATAGTTCTACGTAGAGAGATGTCAAATGTGTTAAGACAAAGTAGCACTTGAAGCATGATTAGTCTACCTCCAAGGGAAGGACTTATCTCAGCTGGCCACCCTGGTTCCCTTCACACTCAATGGAGGAAAACAAGCACTTTCAGTGAGCAAGTTGTCCAAGCTGCTTTTGTCTATTTAAGATCAGATGAAAGGTACCCTTGACTCTATTGACTCTCCACCAAAGGCAGCATTAGGTGTCTGGATATAACGTCCAGGTTTCACCACAGTACAAACCATACACTTTCAAGGAATTTGAGCTAAGAATGCTGCTTCCCTGGAAAATATGTTGATAGTCTACAAGTCAACACTACTCTCCAGCAGTACAGAGGAGACTGATCTGTTTACCTCCTCTCAGTTGACAGTGCTTCCCCCAGAAAAGGGCTAGAACTAAGTGGCTAAGCTTCCAAGGCTAAGTGGGATCCTGAGTGGATATGTGAAAGAGGAAAACTGCGGACTCAGATTTTTCATCACAGCTTTTAAGGCTGGAGTTTAAGCAAGAAGAGATTTCAGCTCCTTCAGCACCAAGCCTGACAGCAGACTCCACCACAGGATGACCTCCTTCAGTCCAGTACCCTAGGTCATACAGGCTGGGAAATATAGAACTACTTGTAGCTGGAGAAGTAGAAGAGAAGGGAGATGCTTCTGTTCTCCCTCAAGCCTCCAATTCCTGACATGTCTTTAAAGCCTTCTACTATAAGATACTTTTTTTTAATATCAAATAGTATTATTTGAGCAATATAGCATCATTCATAATCATTAATATAGTAAAAACAAGTGCCTCAAGGCTTGTCTGATTTGTTTTACTCTTATCTGGTCTATAAGATTATGGCAGGGAGATTTTGGAGAAGAAACATCATACAAGCCAGAGCAAAAACTACATCCCTGTAATAACAAATACTTTAAATATCACAATTTTTTTTGCATGTACAGAGATTTACATTAACTTTAATGGAAATACAATTTGTAGAGCATAGAGTGAAGAGTCATTATACTTCACAAAGTGTCTCTACTTGGTTTTTGCAATATGGTTTTCTTGGCCAACAGATGGAAACCTTACCTGTTCACTTCCATTGGTCACATACCAGGTCCAAGCAATGGGAGTATAGCCAAAACTTTTACAAACCATTACAGCTGTATCTCCTTCATAACTGATAATGGGTTTTTCTTTTCCTTCAATTTTTGGTACTAAGAACAAGTAGAAAAAAGTTCATCAAGTCAGACCTACAGGTTTTAATTACAGTATTACAAAAGATAAAATATATTTAGGTATGTATCTATAGTAGTCCATTCATTTCCTTTTCCTGTAAACACAGATGATTCCATCATTTATGACATATCCTAACTGAGCAGTCATTTCAGGATGATATTCCATATGCATAATTTGTGCAGAAGACTACAAGAATCCTGTTCTCAGTTGCTATATGATGGTAAATTGCCAGTTAATACAGAAAACCAAATGATAATCAGACTCTGATTTCTACCCTTGCACATTTCCTCTTCCCCATCCTTGACAGCTATGAGCTACATGTTTCAGTTCTAGTAGACTAGAAAGAAGCACAATTTTTCTGCTATTTTACTCAATCTGCAAACACTGATAGAAGTCTATTCCAGCCATAATGCTGCTACATAATGGTATCTGGCAAGTTGTGCATATAGAGAATTTTTTTGTAATTAAGACAAAACTGTAGATTGAGTGAGCTTTGTAGTTACAAACACTTTCTAAGCTGAAGTAATGACTTGTGGGTGCATGCCAATAAAAACAACTTTTGGCCCAATGTTGCTAAGAACTGGCCACAAGAAACATGACATCAGATTATAACTTTAGACCTACATGTCCTAGCTGTTAAAACTGTAGAGGCCCCAGAGACTTCTGTCCTGGATTGAAAGATACAGGACAAAGTTTTCTTCTACTGATGGGGAAAATTGCACTTTTAGAAGACCCTAGTGTCTGAATTTGAAAATATTTACTTTACAGCCAGCCAGGCTCTGTGGGATTCAAGGTTAGCGTTTTTGAGCCTTGCCAGGCACAGGGACAAGGAGGAGCAAGGCCTGGGCATTTGACCCAGGCTGACCAAGAGGATTATTTCATACCATGAACGTCACATTCAATATAAATTAGAAAAGTTTGCTGCGTAGCTCTCTCTCTCTTGATGGCAGCAGTCCAGACGACTCCTTGCCCCGGTGCCAGACCCCTGAGGCCTTCCCTTCCTCCTGAAGCCATTGTACTCGCAGTGACCGCCATTTGCTGTCCCTGCTGGGAGTGCACAGCTTCCTGCTGATATGATTGGCTGAGTATAACTCTTGCATATTTTATATCAGTATCGGGATTAATACTGGTTCTTTAGTATTATTGTTAATTATTTATTCTTAGTCTATTAAATCTATTTATATTTCAACCCTTGTGTTTCTTTGTGTTCCCCAATTCCCCTTTCCGGGTGTGGAGGGGTCATCAGGTGATAGAATAGTTGTCTAAACGACAATAGATTGTTATGGGTTCTCAAACCATAACTTCCAAGAGCAAAAGCCAAAAAAAAGAGGCTGTTGAGTATTTTGGGGCATCCCACAGATACAGTTAGACCTGAGCTAATATATCATGGCGTACGTATTTCCTCTTTCCCCTTCTTTCCATCTTTATTAGGATGTTTATCAGCATGCTTTCCTCAGATCCATTTACTTAAAGTTCTACTTCAATTTTCATTGCTTTATCTTGTAAGTACATATCCAGTACATCTTTTAAATTATATTGGTCACACAAGACTAAACAGGCCAAGAAATCTCTTTCAGCAGTTATGATGGAATAATTTGGTATAAACTAAGCTTGTTCTTGTTACCTCCACTTCTTGCCTGGCCGAGCACAAATTAATTGTCCCAGAGAGTGCACTTCTCTTGAGTATTCAAACTTAAAAATTTCCATTTCAGAAATATCTATGAAACCAATTTGTTAATAAAAACATTGCTTACAACCTCAGAACTTGCTGTACCATACATCAATCCAGCCTCATTACTAGTGAGGTCTTCTCAGTCCATATGTATTTGTTTTAAATCATTGAACACTATCTTCTTTTTTTTTTTTTTAAAGAGCAGTGGCAGAGTATCTTCACTACTGTGAGTAAAAGGGACAACATTAATAGCTGCTGACACTTTCCAATATATAGAAGACAAGACCAAAAGCAAGTTGGGAAAAAAGTCCCTACATATGAAAACAAATAACAAACCCTTACACTGAGTACAACAGGTTTATATGGTAGTCAAAAAGATTCAGCCATGCTGATCAGTAGCTAAGCACAGCTACAGGCACACCAGCAATACATGCAACCACATCAGCCATGACTAAGGACAGGAATATCCATCATGAATTCTGGCTCTATAGAACTGGTTAATCCTTGAATGTGTGCAAGGAAATAACGTGCTTTGTCCCGGGTACTTTTGCAAGTAGATCATCTAGAATTTGGTGACAAAACACTGCTGATGCATAGAAAAAAACCCCACTGTTTAAGAGATAAAGAGACAGGTAATCGCACCAGCATTTATGCCAGTCAGATTTCCACACTGGTTTAAAGACCAGAGTTGTTACATAGTGCATATATCTTGACAGCTGTTCAAGGATTCCTCAAAGGGCAAACAGATACTAATCTATTCTACCCTTTAATATAGCTATTACAACACTTCACACTATTTTAAAATACCCACAAATGGTCTCCATGTTTAATAATTTGTATGTCCTATAAGCATCTCTTATTTTTTTCTGCAGACCTGGGTAAAATTTTAACTCAAAATCTGCAGGGTTATGCCAAGCCAGGATGCGGGGAAGGGGAAGAGAGGCAACACATCCAGTAATGCTCAACTGCCTAGTGGAAAAGCTACTGCAGTTAGTTACAGCAGTGATGACTTTAGCCACTGAGTCTACACCAACACATTACTCATATTTCAGTTTGAGAATTGTTCTCTCTGCATTGACTAGAAGATTCAAGGACTTCTCTTTCCTATTTCCTTCACTCTTGCATTAATCTTGAGAAGTGTCAAGCCAGAACTTTTTACTGCATCAGAAGTGGCAGCATTCAACCATTGTGAAGCAATTCTCCCATCTTCTTGTAATAAATCAACCAGTCTATGCACTGTTCTGGAAAAGATTACTTCCCTGTTGAGTCATTCCTGTCCTTACTGAAACAGTTATCATATCCTTTCAAAACAATAATGTCTCCTTTGACTTTTTCTTTTTAATCTAAACAGACTTCGGTAGCAATTCAACTAAACCTTACCCACATGTTGACAAGAAAAATATATGATCATTTTTAGAGATTAGAAGGTCTGAATAAACTACAATTTTTGTCTTTCTTCAGTATTGCAAACTATTCTCCCCTGGCTGAAGGTCTGAAAGCAGATACTGACATTATTCCAGATTTGAACATACATGAGTTTCCTCAAGTCATATGACCACATATCCCACTGAATAAAGGCAGCTTACAGCACTGAGTTTTAAGGCCCTGATGGTTAGTTCAGCTGAGGTTAGGGTAGTTGTTTGAAGAGTCACAGTTTTTAGATGCCTGTGTTCAGGAAGAATCTCCACAGTCCATGGAGCTTGCACAGATCAAATGCTTGCTTTGCTTTTCGCAAAATTCAGATGGTGGGAACAAAGAAGGGAATAGCTCTCATTAGAGATGAAGGTTCTCAACAGCTCATGTCTTTTTCCATTTCCACGTCTTCCATTCAACTGGATTTCATCTACTATTGTCAGGGGCAACATTACTGGACAAGAAAATACAAACCAGAAGAAAGGGCACTTACACTGTCCAATGAAACACTAACTTTTAATGTGTGTTGCCCTTATATTATATAGAATGAAAGATTCAATAATTTCATGTTTCAGAAATACTACTTAATTTGTTCAAAAATCTGCCTCCATTCTGCCAATCATTGCTCTTCTTGTAACACCAAATCTCAGGCCAAACTTCTGAGTCATTTGCTCTGTTTTTTGAAGAATTTATCTGAGATACCATCCTCTCCTCCCACCCCCTAGAAAGTGGTAAGTACTCACTACTGCTGTAGGAATGGAGAGGGAATGGGAAATCAGTTACTCATTTCGGAAAAAAAGTAGGTTTAACTTGTTAATGAGCAAAAGAGCATGTTTCTCAAAAATACTTTTAGTTTTCACTTCAAAATTCTTCTTCCCTCCATGCTACAGAAATGCCTTTGATAGTTGACTGTATTAGACATTGTCTATCAAATTAAGTTGCAATTTACATACTATTCAGAAACCATATTAATAAGGGATTTTGATGGTCAAGGGAAGAAAATTACAAAAAATAAAAATGAAATAGATTAAATACAATTACCTTGTAAATGAAACACAGCACTGATTTCTTCTTCACCTTTCAGAGTACAATTGTAACTTCCCAGATTACTGTTATCCAAGATCTCCAATCTTAAAAAAAAAAGTTTCACCAATTTGCTATTTTGCTTGTATGTTCTTTTGTGCTACAACTATCAGTGACTGCTTATTAACCTTCTAAAGAAATCAGCAGAAATTAGTAAATGCAGAAGAGAACACACGTTGCTGAAACACTAGGATCCAGGTTTATCCCAATGTAGAAATAGCATGACATTTTTAAGAAAACAGAAGAGCCCAAGCACCCTTGGGAACACAAATACCATTTTCACCCTTGCCACTCACAGAAGGCCAAACATCTTTAAGCAGGTTACGGAATGAGGTGTGGGTTCACCATGTGTTATGTAAGACTTCAGAAGAGATTATTTTTCTGGTTTGTTCTTTCTAACGCCAGTCAGTCAATGGCTGGCATAGCTTCAACACAGAACAGTTTTAAAGGGCGGCCATCTAACGAAGTCCATCATCTTCTCTGCTGGCAAAGTACACATTTCATAGTCACTTTGAAGAAGACTCACATGGTTGTGTTCCTGTATATCACGTTTTCTATCCCATTTTAAATAAATATTATTGATGTTAAGAAACCAAAGCAATACAGAAATCAGCTGGAGACTACTTGGCTAAAATCAACCCATTGACATATTTTTGAAGTCCAACAGTAAATTGTATCAATTGAAGAAGGTTTTCTACATGCCATGAGTCTCTGTAGAAATTTGAAAGTTAAGAAAACCTTTTAAACAATCCTAAACATCTTTACTGCAAAGCCAATTTCTTCTCTCTCTTCTGCTAATTATGAAGAAAAAAACTGGCCATTGATGCCTTTTAGACTTCTGCAAAGCAGTACTGAGGTGGAAAATAAAATGTGGAAAACAGAAGAAAAACAATTGATGTTTTAGCCATCTCAAACTGATATTACTACTCCACTTACTGAACAGAGTTACTGGATCTCAGAGAGCTGTGTCTTTATACTATATTCTTCACTTGAAAAAAATGTTGTTTTTCCAGCACTGGAGGAAGAGCAGGAGCTCTTTATCCAGACTTGAGGTAACTGCAGCCTTTTGCCTTTCCTGCAGCTTCAGTATGTCAATTATGGGCATCTATGAATCACTGCATTTGGCTCTAATATATATGTGACTAGTATTGGGCAGGGTATAGGTGTGTGATAACTCATTAGAACCTGCAAGTCAAATTGTAAATAATGCTACTTACTGAATGCTCCAGCTCTTTTCAGTTTTACTGATGTGTCTGATTGTTTCATTCCCTTTCCTCCAAGTCACTTGAAAATTTTTCAAACTGGAATACATATGGTCCAATCTGCATGACAGTTCAATTCTAGTTGCTCTATCCAAAGTGATAGTTTCTTCTACGGACTTACTAGAAACACCTAAAAAGAAGTTTAAGGCAAAAAAGTTTCTGAAACATGAATTTCTTCATTCTATGGGAGAATTCAAAGGTTGTGTTTTACATATGCTGAATTACAGGTGGACACAGAGTTGCTGTTATACTTTTCAGGGAATAAAACTGCAAATTCAGACCATCGGAGTTTAACAGTAACTTTCTTATACCATAACATAGCTATGATAGACATCCATTACACAAATTAAAATCACTCCATTCTGTAGGTAAACTTCCTGGAGGCCTCTAATACAGAAACAAAATATATTAAGTACTTAATTCTCACCAGGCGGAACAATGTCTGCTCTCAGTCTAAACTTCCTTTCTGATTTCACATTGATATTAAAAAAAATGGGATTTATTGGATTAAAAATATTAGTAAGCATATAAAAAGCTACATTAATATAAAAAGTTAGACTTGTAAATATCTATAAACATCCAGGTTTTAATCAGCTGCTGATTTTCATGATACTATGAGTCATAGGTAATCTCCTGTTGCTAATGAAGTTCTTGATAAAATCCACAACCTTAACATTGTTGGATCTGGCCTTTCATGCTACAGCTACTCACTTCAAACCCATTTACCAAGAAGTAGGGTTTCAACATCAGGTATCTTCTCTGATCCATACAAACTGCCTTTTGTAAAAACATCTGGCTTTGTACCCATCAGCACTGAGATTTTATTTCTTAATTATTTTTTTTTTCATGCCTTCTCAATACAACTGTTCTTAGTCCATCTGAATACTCTATGAAAATTTATTCCAGGCCTCATCTCAGTTCTAGACCTACCCTGTAGTACTTGGTCAAAGTAGTACAGCTGTATTTCACAGCTCAAATGCTTTCTGAGACAAAAGGAAGTTTTAAAGTACAGCTCACTGACTTAATAATGCAAGTCATTTCTAAGAAGCGGCAAAGTCTGGCTGAAGTGGAAGCACCGGAAGCTCCCACAGAATATTTGAACTTTACTGGGTCTGGCAGAGACATTTACAGGCAGCAGAACACTGTGCCTAGAACTCCAAGTCCCAGCCAAAATAATAGCGATCTGCTGAACTGGAGTTAAACTTAGAGGTGCAACACCTTGGTCTTCCATAGCAGAGCAAAGTCAGTTACTGCAACTCATTTATTAGAGCCATTACACTCAATAAATAAGCCAAGCATAACTCACTTTGTTGAGGTTGTTTATGATCAAAGTAATTTTGCAAATGGAATTGGTTTCACAGTAGCAAAAAAGTTTTACAGTTAGATTAATTACACTGGCTTAAAATAGAATCCATACTTTTTGAGATTATTTTAAGCATAAACCCGCACATTAAATGAATGGGACATGAAAATCTTATGCTGTTGAAGATTAACCACTAGCAAGACTGGTATCTGGGGCATCTCCGTACCAAGAATACATGTAACAGAACAAGACAGACAGTACCTGCCAATAGATAGCTTTTGCTAGAAAAAACAATACAGCATAAATGCTGTGCAATTATGTCCCAAGAATACCATACTTGTATTTTGCAAAGGAGTTCTAACTGATCTCCTCCAATTGAGAGACATTTCAGTAAGATCAGTTTTTCCAGTTCTCAAAGAAATTAGTTATACATGACTATCTGGCAACTGGGGACTTATCTGGCAACTTTAGCTTAGGAAGAGGCTTCTCTTGCCTTTTTTCCATGCTTTAACTCCTGTAATGCTGCAAAGCTGACTAACACCTGCTGGTTAACAAGTACCCTAGCTTACAGGGTCTCTCCAAGTGGATTCACTGGTGTAAAGAAATTGTCACTTGAATTTACTTGGGGGAACAAATAGCTATGGGTTGTTTTCACTTGTGATTTTAATAAAAAAAAGTAAGAATCTCATTGTCCACTGTGAAATGGTTACTAGAACAATATTCAACAGTGCAATAAATTTAGTCATCTTTCCTTTTACTGAGCTCATTACATGCTTACTGTGAGCATCTTTATCATAGAAGTGCCATCCTAAATACTTAAACTAACATAAAAGATTGTGTGCATTCATAGGCATTCAATATAATGTAACCAGAAGAGAAAACAACACACTTACCAGGTAGAGTTATCTCATACTTCACAAAAGTATGATTAGACACATTCTCTTTGGTTGCCTGCTTCACCTCTTGTGTGGTAGGATCTGGACCTAACAAAGTTGTGGAGGAATCAAAGTGATACGTTATGATCCTATGAAGTTAATCCTACAGCAGAATGTCCATACAGTATTGCAATTATTTCTTATAGTAATCTTAGGGCAAAAAAAAAGGACCTTGCCAAATGCTGGCTACTATGGACATCCTTTCATATATCTTGTGTGTTAACAGACAAAGTCTTAAGGCAGCAATGTTGCATGATCACTGTTAGAGTAATTATGCCACTTCAGAAGACAGTTTCTAGCTCTAATATAATGTTGTAATTGTGAGTGTCAATACTCTTCAAAGAGATGTAACTATCCATTTCACAGCCTGATTGAAAGGGTCACCTATAGCTCACAGGTGGGTCCAACAGGACTACATCAATGCCTAAGGAGAACTTGGAAAAGTAATCATTTTTGGAAAAAATAAAAAGAAACAGAAGGACAGAACACACCATTCCCAAGGCCACTAGAATTTAACAACTCAGCCAGGAAGCTGGAGGTAGACCACCTGATCTAGATGCAGCTATAATGAACGCAGACGCAAGAACACCCTGTGCTCCACTGGAACACTGTCAGAGTCCCTCACCACTCCACAAAACTGTCATACTGCAAGGAATTTCCTTCCATACAGAAAAAAAACCCCAATATTGACCATCATCTGCCCAACTCCTTCCCTTCTGCAAGGGAAAATTACATTTAAAAGGTTTAATATGGACAGCAAAATCCCTTTTCTGTAGTGCTATGGATAGCATACTAGTCAGAAACTACCTTTATAAAGCTCTACAAACCTCAATACAGCTACCAGGCAGGCCGTTAAGCATAAACAGTCTGTTACCCACACTGTAATTGTTCTCATGCTCTATGCATTTCAAGAACAGAGCAAGAAAGCAATTAATAAGCTACAGCTTTAAAAACAGATGTAGCCCAGCTAGAGAAGCATCACACTTCCACATCTACAAAACAAATTAAACAGTTGTGTGTACAATTGCATGCAAGTTCTTAGTAAACTGGAGCACATTGTGGAAAAAGTCATTAGAAATCATGCTTAAAGGTAAGGTCAATTCAATACAATTTTAGCAATTTTCATTTTGTCAGTTTCCATACAGCTTTAAACATGAAACTGCTTATCACAGTAATTATTAACTAATATAAGTCCTCTGACCCCTTGATTAAAAAAATATCAAGGCAGAGCCTTAGGGTAACTGAAATTTATGAATTTAAGACATGCGATTGCTTTTACCAGGTGTAGATGCATCATGTCCAAGTCCCAAATGATCCGAGTGGCTCCCCTGAGTTTGCCAGTTGACAGTTCCTGTAGTTATCATGGGCTCTGAAAGGTGAAAAAGCAAACCTGTTACCAAAAAAATAATTTTCTTTTAATTTAGTGATGAAATAGAAAGTAAATAGAAACAAAATAAATAGAGATTTCCTACTCCCCACCCCATGGTAGATAAAATACATTACATGTTCTAGATGCTTGCAAAGTAATTTTATTGTCAGTTATTATATAACACATCCCAGAAATACATAAACAGTAATTATGGATTGAGTCTGCCTAATCATACAGCATTACAGGAGAACATTCTCGTAGCTTTTGCAGAAGGAATGGGGCTTCATTTTGTCTTCCGTCAATGGGTTGAGAAGGTTCCCAGCCATAGCTGGAAAACCAGAGAAAACTGGGCTACAGCTTCAGTCTTCTCACTGAGAGAAGCACTGGGTGGCAGAGTTGATCACTGTGCAGTAGAAATAGTATCTTTGAAAGCCTGGATCTCAGAATTACTCCTTCTCTTTTCCCACAAAAAATACTGAACTTTGAGGTAAAGTTCTTAAACGCACGCCTCTCGGCTACAGTTGAGGGAGTCCAGTTGTGCTGAAGGAGGTCCCTGCTAGTGGCTTGCATCTAAAGGTCTCTGAACAAGCATAAGCTGAGGCACTAAGTGCTTTCCAAGCTGCTAGCCTGTTCCGTAAACCAGTGTTTTCTTTATCAACATGACAGCTCACAACACAAGGAATGCTATGCCACAGGCAATCAGCCTTTTTGCCTAACTTGCTCCATCTGCCTTTTCATACCTCCCCTCATGCTTCAACCAGTTTAAGTAACAATAAACCTGTATATTAAGGTGGACGATGCAGAAAAATAGAGCTTCAGGCTATTTTGTTTGGAAGTTGTTGACAGTAGACTTCTGCCAATCTCAACTACTAGTCCAAAATGGCTTTTCAAGCAAAAAATTATGAAGCTATCCCCTAGCACTAGACAGTAATTCCTGTTCCTCTAGACAAGAGCACAAGCAAGCCTTGATCCCTGCTTGATGGAAAAACAAATTAGTCCAAGTGTTTACCCCTGAAAAAACATGTGAAGGCTGAAAGAAGTCTGGGGAATCTTCCTCTGTCTGTGTCTGCAAACACCTTGACAGCATGCCAAGGCTGTCATAGGTCACTTGAGTTTATGTTGGTCTAGTACACGCATCACCTGGTTTGTTACTGAAATGCCTCAATGATAGATTCAGAAGGCACCAGTGCCAGTTCATATGGTAGTTGTTATCCATCCACAAAAAACTAGACGACTTTAAAATGTCTTGCCCACTAATAGGATCCCCATACTGACTCTTCCTCAATTCATGTATCACATGAAAATAGTCAGGTGAGGTCATGTTGTACAAAACACTTTACATACTTTAGCTCATATGTATGAGTGCTTTTGTAGGGAAAGAGTTATTGAATCTATTAGCTATTGCTAGCTCACACACATTGTGGTAAATAGCTCTGAAGATGAACACCAGACATATACCATTCTCATCTCCCAACAAACTGTAGACAGAATAACTTGTCAGAACTTGCTTATATTCATGTATAAATATAACTTAGCCCATGTCTGATTTGCATTAATCAACATGATCTTTGGTACACTGTTGAATTCCTGCTGTTCTGACCTTTACAGAAAAAGGAGAGGTGGGATCAAGAATCATCAGTTTCTTCTCTTGCCTGGACCTTACTCTCTGCTCCCCATCAAATCCGCAATGAAGGTCCAGAATATGGTGAATAAAGAGTGGGGACAACAGAAGGTTTTGACACATGCATAATTTAAAGAATAGGGAGATGAAATTAGCAGGCTTCATTGATGCAAGGGCATTATTGTACCTCTCACTAAAACAAGAGTATAAGGAGGAGTCCTCATGTTAAAAATAATCAGGTGTAGGTGCTAGAACAGAACCTCCCACAATGGTCCTAGTTTGGGTATTGTCCCATCTCCAGGGTCACTGCCTGCTTTTACAGCATATATGCATAAGGACAACAGAACACACAACTGGCAGTTGGATAGCTTTTTCCGAAGTCGTTGAGATGCTTGCGACACTTAAGCTCTTGCAATGGCTTTGAAAGGCCTAGATGATATATTTAATTTTGTTCCTTCTGAAGAGGCCCAGTTTTATGTGAAAAGACTTTAGTATGAAAATATAAACTCTACATGACACTTAGTATCACTAGGAAAGAGTATTATAGCTTTAGGTGTACTGAAAAAAAACAATTACCAGCAGATGATTCATTAAGTCCAGCTTGCATCTTAGTCAGATAGCTTGCCTGACTGGCATCTTCTGTCGTCATGGCTGCATCTAAAAAGATAAAAGGGTTTAAATAAACTTCATTCTCTCTGTTGAGCTCAGTTAGAAATATGTTCATGAAAAGAATTCAAACAGAACCTCCTCACCTCAGCCTGCCACCCCCATTTTTCCCCCAAGTTCTATGCACATACAGCCAAAGCATGCAAGAATTACTTCTCCTTAGTTCTTTAGCTTACGTTAGGCAAGAAAATATTAAAGAACAGAGGCAGTATTTATTTGACCTGTAATTTCTCTGTACATATCTTTTCCTGTAGTTAGCCTATAGTGGGGCAAAGCTGTTCTTCAAAATATTCTAGCAGATCAATAAACATTTAAATCTGTACTCAAATCCTGTCTTGTTTGCAGTCTTATGCGACCACAGCTTAAGACACTAGCTGATTATTTTTAAACATAGTATAGCAAATTCAGTAACAGAGTAAGGATCACAATACAACCTGATGTGTCTACCCTGTTTTGTAATGCAGAGAAGAACCTCCTTCCTTCCTAGTATCACCTTAGTGATACAAAAACAAAAAGTATTGGTGTCAAACAAGGACTTCAAGTAATACTAATGACTATTTCCATTTTCCTTAACACCACTGCAAATCTGATTCCGCTCCTGTAACGCGTTTTTTGTAGGAGCCATTCAAGACTCTAGGGTTTTGCTTTATGTTCTTGACTGAAGAAAGGACAGCAGGGAAGAGGCAGAAGGCAGTTTGAGAAAGTTGCTGTGTCACTGTTCTATTAAGAAATCAAAGTCCCTAGATGTTTTATAGAAATGGAGATGTTTGCTCCTTCCTTTCTGCTCCCACATTTGGGTGGCAGAACTAGTTAGTGTAAACGCTGTATCTTTACGTGCTTAAGTATTCCAGGACATATTCCATTCCCAAAGCAGCAGTATACACTCTTCCTCAAGCTCAAAAGCTACTTATGTGAGATTGATCTAAGTGATTTGGCCAGTAGTTACATAGGAAAAAAGGACATGCGTTCTGCTGTTGTAATTAAAGATGGGTGGGTGTGTGGACGTCAGCAGAGCTTACTACAGGACAGCAGCAAGTATAGATGAACAGTTAAAAGCTACATCATTCTTTGAGTGTTCAAACTTGTTGAAAACCATGTGTCTTCAACAGAAGGTAAAGTCAGCACCCTGCCAGTTCCTACAAGTGAACAATGCTACTAACAGACCTACCCCACTTTAGCACTATGGGCACAGGCAACCTGCAGACTCTCCCACTGGCACCTCCAGCACACAATTATTCCAGCTACATCAGTTGTGCCCAGCTTGCATCATCTGCTTTTTCAATCTGCCCACCATTCTTCAGCCAGTTTGGATCAAGAGTAAAATACGGTAGTCAAAGGATATGACTAAAGAATTAAGCATTACCAGTTCTTCACAACAGACTGCGCTTTTCATAGTGGTCCACTGGTTCCACAGGCAAATGTTCTCTCCCAGCCCTTCACCCAACCAAAGAACTTCAGAAATATGCTCTGAGAACCTGTTGTTTTACGACCCAGGCAGTAAGAAGACTGAGTCTTATTTTCTGATTGACAGAGGCACTGAGAGCAGGGAGAGCTATTATGCTTCTGATATTCATGGTAAGGTTGAAGAAAGGTCCATGAATTTTTACATCTGCAGCATCTTGAGGTATTCAAAAGATGTCATGGATCACCTGACTGTGTCAGCTTAATAGATGCATCACCTGCACAGTAATTAAAATCCCCAAAGATGATAAATTTAGAAGGTGCCAGTGCCAAGCTGCACAGTAGCTCTGTTATCTCTCACAAGGAAGGCAGATAATCTGCAACATGTTTTGCATACTAATAGGGTTCTCATCTTGGCTTTTCTTCCTTGATTCACATACCAAGTAAAAGCAGCCAAGCAGTGTTATTTCTACTCACCACTGCTTCCACATCTTAGCTCTTACCTGTCCTTATGTCAAACTACACAGCAGAGAGATAACATTGCAACCCTCTTCTCTCATCTGCACCTGATGAATGGTATCAGAGATCAAGATGACCCAGCACTGCATGATTAGTGCCATCAAGACAGGCAGTGATGTAAGCAAGTCGAGTAACTTCTCAAACTATTGAGTCATGGCTGCGTGCCTCAGCCTATAACTGATTTGCATTAAATCTAATCAATAGTGTGGTATATCTTCCTGAGTTCTTGTTGCCCTGACCTTTAAGCACAAAGGAATAGGTGAGAGTATGAGGTCATTAATTTATTTTTCCACCTTATCTCTGCTCCCGACTGCAGCCAATGTTTGGGAGGTAAAGTGTGGATGAACCATACTTGTCATCATCAGAGCAATTTCAGACTTTAAAATCTATTTGCTCTCTTTTTCAGCCAGAAGAGTGGCTGAATATTAAAAAACAGAGGTACAATTTGGTTTATATTAAGTATTAAATTAATGATGTTAAATTAATGTCAATTAATTTAATATCAATTTTATTCTCTATGCAAACACACAAGCGTTCAGTAGCATCTAAAACCAGCTGCCAAAACCTCCTAGTCCCCCTACAAAAGGGAAAAGCTGCAGACTGAGCTCTCCTGGGGCACCAGAGAGTCCACACAAAGTACTTCCAAATGCCCTGATAGAAGCCCTTCTCTCAGGGCAAACCAGAAAAATCCAACCTGGCAGCAAAGCCTGTAATAATGAGATGTACCCTCTACTCATAACTCCTTGGTATCTTTAGGGGCAGAGTTGGCAGACAAGATGTGGTGGGCTTGCTTTTCCTAAGGGATCTGGCAGCATATGCAGCAACCAAATTAGGCAGGCACAATGGTAACCAAACAAAGCAGCAAACTCTGAAGAACAATGTTGTGACACTTAGTTAGAAATTACCCTTATAAAAGGGATGGTTTAAATTTTTCAAAATAATTAACTAAGCACTTACAAGACTATCAGACAAAAGTAACAGAATAATTAAGAAATCTCATTCAAGCTACTTACCTCAAAATAAAATTTAAGAGGCTTCTTGTGGTATATGCCTGACCAACTGCAGAAGAGCCTGCAACCCACCTTCCTGCAGCTCAGTCTTTGTGGCATCCGGTTGCTTTTACTGCAGGCATTTCTTTTGCTTGAAGAAGCCTGCTTAACCCCCATATCTCCAGAACACACACTGCATCTGGACTTCACTAGAACACAGTTCTAGTTCTCCTTCCTCCAAGGGAGCATGAACTTCCCATTGCTGCACCTGTGCAGGGAGTCCCTGTGCTTGATCAGCTTTTTGCACATTTGGTTAATAACTAATGAAAGAGTAAATTACTCTGCCTTGCATTTAAATTATCATGGAAATCACAGTATGAGCCTCCTTGCCTAGTTTATACAAATATAAAAGCATTTAATAGAAGTCTGAAAAAAAAAACAAAACAGCCTGACTTTGTACAGATAAAGGGTACTAAAATAGGTGGCTCACTTCTGATGAGCACAAAAACCAGACATGATATCCATCTCTTTAGGAAGATGGTAGCTTTGCAGAATTTTTAGAAACACAAATAGGGTTTTGGTTTGGTTTTTTTTTAGTTGGCTTTTTTCTTTTTTTTCAGAAGAAGGTATCACTTGATATCATTTGAATTGCTTTAACCACCATTAGGTACAGCTCTCAGCAGTAATAATCATCAAAAGTAAATACCATGTGGCTAACTTGCCATAATGTGACTCACATGTTCCTACAAATATCAGGCCATTTACAGTCACAAAACCTTTTGATTAATGAAATAAGCTGTTAGAAAGGACTTCATGTGTACATAAATACACATGCATATTTTAAAGAAGCTTAAAGCACTATAAAACAAATTTTCATCTATATGCATACCTAAATATATGTATTTCAAACAAGCCCTTGAAAACTGCAAAGTGTATCTTCTGTCCTTTCCTATGTGAACCTGTTACAGGTTTTACAACACTTATCATCACACACGGAGCAGTATTGCTCCTCTCAGTATTAGGAAGATCACCAGAGGGATGAAGAAACAGGTAACCACTTGCACATCACACCAAAAACGCAGCTAAACCACTGATGGCTAATTAAAGACACAGCAAAAATGAACACATACATGTATTGGCAGAACTTTCAGCATTGGCAAGACATGCTCCAGCAATCACATCTTGCACAGCAAACACCAGCAACCTGATATTTCTTTCCATTATCATCCTGTACTACTCTGTGACGCCTCAAAAACAGGGGTGGCCAACAGAAATCCCCTAGTTGTAGAAATAAGCTCTTATTTCCTTAAAAGTGGTCTGCTGAAAACTGCTAGAGGAAGAATCACACCCAGAACGCTCAGAAACCCATCTTCCTTCACGGGTTTCAAGTGTCACATCTTAAAAACACAATATAAGACCTTCAAAGGGAGGTTCCTCACAACCTGCTAGGCACAGTGACATTTCAGTAATGTAACTTACCGATGCGTGGGTTTGTTGTTGTTTTTTTTTTTTTTTCCAGGGCTTAAATAACGCTCTGGTTGATAAGGACAGAAACACCGTGCCTCAGCCTCCGTGCCCCTCACCTGAGCCGACCAGCCCTCCCCGGTCCGGCGGGGCAGGCGGCGGGGCCGGCCCCAGGCCAAGGGCCGAGCATCCCCGGCTGCGGCTCCGCGCCGCCCCCGCTGCCCACCGGCACCCACGGGCGGGGAGGCACGGCCAGCCTCACCCTTCACCGGCGGGCAGCCCCCTCCCGGGCTCCCCGCTCTCCAGCCGGCCTGCCAGAAATCCCACGGCTTTTATATTTTTTTGGGGGGAGGATATAGCCGAGGGAGGCCGGGGCGGCAGGCGGAGAGGAGGAGGAGGAGGAGGCAGCGCTGGGGAGTTACGACCCCCGGGAGGGTCGAGGCCGCCGAGGAGAAGAAACGCCTCAGCCGTTTAAAAAGGCAGGGCCGAGAGACCACCGCTCCGTCCCCCGGAGATGCTGCGGGGCAGGGAGGACCTTTGCTCGGCCGCAGCTCCCCCGGGCCCCCCTCACCCCAGCCCACCCCGACGCTGAGGGGGCGGCTGCGGCGTGACAGGCGCCCAGCCCGCGAGCGGAGAGAGCGTTTACCTGCGGGGCTCCCGCCCGAGAGGCTGAGGCAGAGCAGCAGCAGCCGCAGCAGCCGCCCCGGGCGCTTTCCGGAGAAGGCGGCCCGCATGGTGCCCCCAGCCGCCGCCGCGCTCCCGCTGCCGCTCCCCCGCCGCCGCGCAGGCAGCTGGCCCGGCCCGGCCCCGCACCGCACCGCCCGCGGGCAGCGGCTGCTGAGGGAAGGCTGAAGCGGGCCGGGGAGGCTGTGAGGGACAGCCGGCTGCTGCTGCTGCCGCCCCAAATCCGCGGGCAGGGCAAACGCCGGGGAAGGAGCGGCAGGCACCGCCGTTCCTCCTCAGCGGGACGACACGTCCCCACCGGCGCGGCCCCGCCGGGCTTTATGCGGCGGGAGGAAGGGCGTGGGTGAGCACCGGTGGCGAATTGGAGCGGGGGCCCGGGCAGCTGGTCCGGGTGCGAGCCCCGCCGGGCACGGCTGGAGGCTGACACGGGGCGTAGGGAGGTTAGGGTCAGTTTTGGCCAAAAAACCGGCTGTTGCCGGAGGACCACCACCACCAGCAGCACCACCACCACCACCACCTCTGGTGGGGTTTGCCCAGAGAAGGCTGCGGTGGGCAGAGCGCAAGCCTGTCTTTGCCCTTTGGCTGGTGATCTTCTGGAGAGCCCAGCTTTGAGGGTCAGTGGCTCCAGGGCAGCTGGGTTATACTGTATGAGAGCTGCGGCTTTGCACATCTCCTTTTCCAAGTCTCCTGGCCTGGGCAGCAATGCCTGGGGAGCACCTTTTCCGACAAGGGCTCCTCACTGCTTGGTGCCTTTAAAATCACAATTTAATTGCTTAGACTGTTTTGATCTCTATATATTTGTACATGTATAGTAAAACTGCTCACATATATACACATGTATATGCATTTCTGTTTGTTACTTGATAAATAACTGAATTTGGATTTTGCAGCTTAAAACCTGGCAGGGTGGCAATTCTCTGAAGGAAAGTCTTGATGATGGGATACTTGCTGCAGTTCATTTGCTATCAAGGTACAGTTACTTCAGCTAATGCAAAAGTTGAATTGTGTGTAAGGTTAGTATCAATAATGCAAAGAGGTCACTGCATGTGAGCCTTTACATCATCTTAGCTCTCCCGTGCTGGCAGAGCTGTAGGAGTCTATGCAGAGCAGGAATAAGTCAAATGCCCTGTGTGTTGATTTTCCAGCACTGCACATGTTCATGCATGTCCTCCCATGCCAGTATGGTGTCCTTCAGATTAAAATTTTCCATCATAAAGCCTCCCAATAAATGCAACTAATGGCAAAAGACTGAAACAGGATTGTTTCGTCAAGCCCTTGCTGAATGTCACAGAAGACTCAGGATCCCTGCTGGCAAAATGGGACCATGTATAGAGAGGGGCCTTCTCTGTTATTGAAAGAACGAATATCCTTCATACACTTGGAGCAATGGGATGGAGCCTTGTCCTCTCCAGCACTCAGGATGTTTATCTCACGTACAAAAGGCAGGAAGCCATAGATATGTGAGTAGTCAATGCTCAGTGGTGCCCATACAGCTGTAAATCCACTGCTTTTGAAATTTAGCTGCAACCTATAGTTCTGTGTGGTGGTGTGACAGGCAGTACCAGCATGCTGTAAGGAGAGACTGAACCCCCAGAGTTTTGTTATTCTGCCGGCCTGCTACAACACACAGAGCAATGGGATTCAGAGAGAGAATCCAATTCAGATAAGGCTGTTTGGGAGTGGCAGAAGATCTTTAGCTTTTAATGGGGAAAAAAAAAAAATAAAAATTGGCTGTGGCTTGAAAGCTGTTTTATCTGAGCCAGTTTGGCCTGAAGAGACTTATCTGCTGTGGAGGGCGAGGGAGGAAGGGACATAAAAGGGTATGTCAGCTACTTTTAGATACGAAGGGGTGGTTGGTAATTTCAGTTAGCTCTCTCTGGAATGGGTGAAAAGAAAACCTTATGTTCACCTGATTTAGCAGATGGGTATGCAGCACCTTTTGATGAGGCAGATTTTATCCACCTGGAAACCACATGGATGGATTAGCAATGGGGCAAATCTATGTAGAAATCTACAGCTAAACTCTGACAGCTGGGAGGAACGGAGCTGCTAGGACAGTCTGATCCAGGACCTGGCTGTAGTTTAATCAGTTCTGGCTCAGTGTAAATTGGGGGAGATTCTGACAGAGATGATTTGTTTTGAGTGACTTGACAATATGTCCTGTTTAGGACTGGCTTGTGTCTTCCCCACCAATCATCTTGGGTAGAGCATCAAAGCAGTCTGAAGACATGATGAACACCTTTGTGGAATTCTTTCTCAAGTCTTCTTCAGGGCTTGTCATCTGCTAATGGTACATCCCACACATACCTAATGCTGAATGGGAAGAAAACAATTATTAAACTTCTCCTGAGGGAGCTGTAGTTTCCTAGGCTCATGGTATGAGACACAGAAGCCACAAAGCAATGGAAGGGGGAAAGGCAAAGAGGAAGCAGAATTTAGAGGAACCACTCAAGCAGAGAACCAGACAGCCTGTTAGGGGTTTCAGTGGTCCACAGTTTGCCTTACCGTAATAATGTGCTTGTACTAGATTATTCCCCAAGTACTATGCCTGGATTTGGTAGACCATTAAAAGGGTAGGAGTGAGAGATTTCAGAAATTATAAGGTTAGTGATAACAAACTATGAGAAAGTAGAATATGGGGGATATTAAAAAAATCAGCTGTCATATTTGCATGCATTTGGGAACACTGACTGGTAAGTAATTAGGAATTTCAGGAAAAGTATCTCCATTCAAATTTTACATACTAAGACTAACTGCTCCATCTATTAACATCCAGCATATTTTTCCCTTCTTTCTCGAGCTAATTATTTTCTCTCAGAGAGAGAAGCTTTGACTTATTCTCACATGGCAAATACTTGGCAAACATGACAGTCATTTTGGAACAAGGATTCATATGTTGAACCATATTCTTGCTTATAAGAAAACTTTTATATTTAATAAGACCTCTAGTACAGGGAAATTGATGGTTTATTCGGCTGGAAGATATTTGCCAAAACTTTTTGTGGCAGAAGGAAAGTAAATGAAACTCTGAAAATTGCTAAGACATGTTGATTATTGGCTAAAGAAAAATCTGGATGATAATTTTACTTTTACAGCTCCTTTTCTCCGACAACCAAGTCTATGTTCTCAAAGCCAAGTCTTTGGCATTAATTTATTTCTGCTAATAATTAAATACATTAAAATAATAACTAAATAATAACTAAACAGTAAATAATAACTAAATTATAATAATAATAAACTAAAACAGTAAAATACTGAAGGACATACCCGAATCAGCAATTTCTTTGGCTGGCTGGAGGTTTGCTTTTTATTACCTCTCAAACTGTGAAAAGTTAAGTAACACATATGTGAGAAGAACTGGGAAAAGGAAGAAACAGTAAAAAGGTACTGAAAACCTTTTTAGGTGGCAGTTCAGATGTGTTTCAGGGATGATGTTCAGCAGCCTCCAGTATCTGAAGCTGAATCATCAAGACCTTAATAGATTCTAGCTAGATTTTTCTAACATTCAAGGAACTTTAATGAGGACACATTTGTTTATGGGAGTCAAAATTTTAATTACAAAAGCATGAAAATAAGCAGTGGGAAATAGGAGAAAGCATTAAGAATTACTTTAGAAATAACTCTTGCAAGCATGGTCAGGAGATAATTTTCCAAGGCCAGGAGATAATGTGTTACTAATCTATGGACCACTACCAAAAAATGTGTCAGAGTAGATGCTGTGCAACAACTCCATGTGTTCTCCATTCACCGGTAACCATCAGGTTATAATTGAATAAAAAAATAATGCAGAATGCACTTTTCTGAAAGCCAAAGCAATATGTTGAATGCTAGTACAAGACTATAAAACGGCATTTTATTGTCTTCCCCAAACATTTATCTTTTGCTTGCTGTCTTTGAAGGATTTAACTAAACTGACCTCTTGGCTGGATTTAAAATTACAGGCCAGATTATGCAATCTGCATACTCTGCAGTTGCCTACTCTGCAATGTCTGCATCCTGCTGAGTGGCTGTAAATCCCAGTATCTCCTCTTACCTCCTTGAAGGCAATTTGTAAAATGAGGCATATAATCTCCATTGAGAATTCAGCCATCTATCAAATATTTAATGTCATGTTTTAAGATCTGCGCTGTAGATCAGACAACAATTTGGGCTGTAGTGCTTTAGAAACGTATTTCTTAAAAATGTTAGCTTGCTGACAATACCAATTACTGAGATTGGCAATACTGCTCATACAAGATACCGTATCAATTGTTACTGTGTAGGGTTTGATTTTGTGCAGGGTTGCAGATTATGCAGCATGGCTCTGCTCAGAAAAGGCTTTGTTCACGTGGCAAACACACCATCATCAGAACTGGAAACCAGAAAGTCAGCCAAGTAAGATTTTTGGCAAACAGTTCTTTTTGCCTTTCTGTCCTGCCTCCTTCCCTCCCCCCTCTCCCCTCCAAGTCTGAACAAAATTGGTATTTTTAAATTGAAAATGTAATGAAAAAACAGAGTTTTGTTTAAAACACAATTTAGATTGAAACCGTATGTGCAGACTTCTAAAGAATTTTCTGCAATCTGCTAGTTTAATGTAGAAATAAAGTTCACTGTGATATCAATGCTTGCCACCCCATCACGGTTTGTTTTGCAAGCTGTTGCTTCAAAATGTTCAGAAAATATTTTAAATGTCTCAAGCATGACCAGATTTTGAAGGAGTTAGTATCTTTCATTACAGTAATATACCTGGAAAAAGTAAGTCAGCCTCTGATCTGAATACAATTTGAGAACAATTACTTTGTTTAATTCTAATTATGCTGAGGGCATACAGTCTCACCTACTGCTTTAGTATCAGGAAGAAGAAGATCACCTTTGATAAGTCTTTCTTTTTCATGAATTTTCACTTCCAAGCTTTCAGACTCTTAAAAATATTTTCTCCTTTGTTGCAAAAGTAAAAAAAAAAAATCAAGAGAGGCCTTGTATACAATAAACTGTACAGGACAGTCTCCTCCATTCTGCTCTGTACTTGCTCAATTATGAGCAGCAGTAAGTGGGAGCACTAAGTCGACTGGTGAAACAGGCCTTGTTTACATCACTGAAACTGGGCTATGTGGGGCTTCTGCTCGGGGGAAGTAACACGTGTGGTACTCAAGATATGTTTTTCCCTTTTTTGGTGGGTCTGGTGACAGTATGTAGACTTCTTGTCATTCAACTGACCTGTTTTATGGTTTTCCTCTGTTGTGGTTTTTTTTCAGGTAGTTCACACATAGTTTCTCTGAATCCCCCTCCTCCCCTCCTCCGAAAGATGTTTGTAATGCTGAAGGGAAGACCTGAAGATAAGACAGCATAAAATAAGTAACAAGTAAAGTGGGCCTAAGCCTTACTGATTATATTCCTGGTGGAGGGAAGTCATTCAAGTTAAATGCCACTCCATGTATTTATTAGTCAATGTCAGTAAACTTCAGAAACTCTGCCTCTAACAGCATCCTTTAGTCTTTACATATTATTTTAGAAAGAGAAAAGAGGGCTTCAAGAAAAAAGTGGAGAAAGCTATGTAACTAAAACTGTTACTTGTAAATTCAGTTTCAGTTGTAATTTAAAATATTTGAGTATTTAAAGAGATTTTATTAGTCTTTTGCTTTTAAATTATTTTTTCTCGTAAATGAAAGCTAAGGTTTTATTCTGATATCACAGGACTCCAGGAAGGGAGCAGATAAAAGAAAGAAGGAAAAGGATTGCAGAAGTTGTGATAAAATCAGAAGCATTGTTACTGACTGCAGAGACATGATAGCCAAAACTGAAGAACTAAAGCAGGTAGAGTTATGCTGTCATTTGATCACTTCACAACTTTACAGAATGCAGGCAAAATATGTCCCTGTCCTCATCAGCACAGAGGCAGAGACATCAGTCCATACACATTAGGAATACCTAACAGTAGTAACTCCGAACTAAAACATATATATGTGTATATATATATATTCACTTTCCTAAAACTTAAGAATCCATGTTGGCAGAACCACACCGTCTAAGACAATGCATGCAAATGTACCCTGGAATCTCCACACTTCAGGAATATATCCATGTTTCTTGTACAATACTATTTCTGTTAAACAGAAAATTAAGTTTCAGGGTTTACCACAGTGATAATTTTCACAGCTTTTAATCCACACAAACACAACATTTATGTAACAGGTACAGAACTATGTGAGTATCCTCTGAAATGATGCATACTCAGAACTGGATAGCGTAGTACTTCAATAAAAAACAGTATGTTCATCCAGAGAGAGATCGTCTTGGATATTTTTCTTTGGGTGAGAAGGAAAATACCATTCTAAAGCAAAACAGCCTGCACACGTTGCTAGTTCTTTGCATGTGGAAGAGCTTCTTTCAGAAATGGATTGTTTTCCAGTCTGTAAATATTTTGTTGAAGCAGCAGAAGCTTCTTCAAGCATATAGTAAACAAAGTTCAGACAAAGGAAGGAAAGCCATCAGAACTCTAATAAAGAAACTGCAATAAGAAAGAGTATCAGGAGTCAGGCTTTGCGTATCTAGAATTTGTGTAATACTTACTTGTACAAAACCATTTTCCCTCCTTGGATTTTTCAGTCTGACTATGCATCATAATCCTACAGTTTTCCTGATGTGTAAAGCAGTATGCACCCTTTACCTCTGCATGGGAAACATTTTCATCCAGAGCTGTAAACCACCCCTTTAGAAGTGTCCAGTGGGATTTGTGAGAGAGGAACTTCTGGGCTGTGGGACAGTCATCTTACGCGATTTTTTAGTCGTACGAATACATAAATTTTATTTGATACTGGTAATAATGGAGTTAAAGTGCCTTTTTCAGCTGAGCTTATGTCACACCAGAAGGGTTCAAAGATGAACTTCTGAAGGTGACTTTTTAACAGCAGATTTGGTCTGCAAGGCATTTCCACAAAGAATTCATCAGGGTTATATTATAACTTGGACAATGTTATCAATATTTCTAGGGAAAAAATAGATACATATATATTTTTAAGTAAAAGAAGCCTAAAATATATTGGTGTGTAGAATGTGATTTTCAACATGAAAAAGAATGGTAATAAGTAGTTTTTACTTTTATGTCTGATTCAGAAATTGCTAATATATTTCCAAATACTTCTGTGCTCAGTAAGCTGGAGGAGAATTATGCAAAGATAATTTATCCTAATTGAGTTTTACCTTTCAATACAACAACTAAAAAAAAAAAAACTCCTCATGAAGAGAAAAATGTGCAGAACATACCAGTAGTGAAAAATCTACAAAGGTAATGTAAATTTTTTCAACAATAATTTATAGCAACTTATTCTGGGTGACCTGTGAAGTTTATTCCAGGTTTTTTAAACCCCACAAATGCCAGAAAAAAAGCATATTTTTGTTCTCCATTTTTCTAGCTCCCTTTTGGTTATGAGAGTTACCGGAACTAATAGTTCCGGTAACTCAATTTATCGTATAAGAATTAGTTTTTTGTAATTATTGTGTTTTGATTAATTCAGCCACAAGTTAGAGTTAGTAACACTAAGACAGCTTTTTAGAAGAATAAGTCATTTTGCTTAGTTTTTAAATAACTCGGATAAGAATCAGTAATAAATTACATCTGACATCAGTAAGACTTTAGAAAGTGTGTTGCTAAGGTTAGGTAATTATTTATGGAAAAATAAGAGTTCAGAGGAAAATGTAAATTGGCCTACCGAGAAGATGTTGGGTCATTCTGACTGGTTAGTTGACATATATTCCTCTGACTGACTTCTCATAGTGTTTGAAACAAGCCTGTCAGAGGAAAATGTGATCTCTCCATGTGGACCCTATTCCCATGCTTGACAACCTTTAATGTGTTTGTCCTCACATCAGCCTTGTGGGTAATGTTAACTCCAGCAAGACACTAAGTGGCTCACCTGAGATAACCCAGGAAAAGTGTTACACTTGACTGTTCTTTTCTAGCTTTTTCTGCCCTGTGCCAGGTTTTTCTTGATTCCTCAGGATAAAGCTGAGTAGATAGAAAAGGCTACTCTGGGTGCACTGAAAAAGTCAGAGGCATTCCCTGCTGACCTGTTTTATTACTCTTTCTTGTAGGAGAGAGCCAGCCATGCCCTTTGTACAGACAGTATGTTTGGACTTGGCTTGGGAAGAATTTGAGTTGCCCCTTCAAACACACAGCACAGATTGCAAGGTGAGCATCTGAGACCGCAGACAGCTGTGTGAACACGGTGATTTTGATGCAAGCAAATGTTTGAATACTTTTACACATTGGCATTCTGTTGGAAATCAGATTCCAAGTATGAGTGACCTGAAAAACTGCTGTTGTGCAACAGATTCATTATCCTCTAGGACTTCTTCAAGGGATTTGATTGTTTGCAGATCTTTAGGGCTTGATGGTTACAGGTCTCCTGGACTTACAGCCAGTGTAGTGTATCAGCTAGGAAAGATGCTATTTTTTAAGCTGATGCTTCTTACAGAGTTGTGTTTTCTAGGCTTTATATAAATACTGTCCAGCTTTACTGTGAAAGTGGTGTGCTCAATCCTACATTTGAACTGTGCTGCAATATTTAAACTGGAAATAAAATTTCAATTACAGTTTCTTACTGGTAGAAATTTCTTTTTAACATGCTTGAAAGTTTCATAAAATTATGTAAAGCTTCTCTCAAAGTTGCTAAAACAAACCTTATTAATGCTAAATTCCTTTAAGGCTTTTTTCTTCTCTTGATAATACACCCTTGAGAATGATGGCGCCTCACTATTACAATGCATCAAGCCAGGGGCAGTGCAGGTGTTAATTACATTTTTTAAAGTAATCATTAAATAGTTTGTACTTCACACAGAGACCGTGAACTCCATGCAGTAAGTTAATTGAACTTAGTAGTAGGAAAATAGGAGAATAAATCTGAATTGCAGAAGTCACTGCCAGAAATCTGTGACTAGAGTGGTTGGAAAATACATGATCGTCTTTTCACACGCCTTTCTTAGTCATTGTTAAACTTAATCTTGGTAAGTGGGGTTGGACTAGATGACCTTTAAAGGTCCCTTCCAACCCAAACCATTCTATGATTCTGTATGGGTATGGACAAACCTCCTGCATCATATAGTACATCCCAGATTATCAGTGCCGCGTAATTCATTGCTATTTCTACAGCTTCTCTAGCCAGTTCTAAGGCAGCTCTCATGACAGTGCACTACTTTTTCCAGCTGTTGTGTGCTGCAGAGGTTGCTCTGCCCACTGAAACTCCATGAATCACATTTTTTCTTCCTAGTACAAAAAGAAACTGCTTGTGCATTTATTACTCTTTTGGCAGTTTCCCCTTTAGGCTACATACTCATTTTTTAAAACCTTTTCACTCTTCAGCAGAACTTCAAAGCATGCTCTGTGATGTCTCAGGTAGAAGCAGTACAGGTGTTTTTAATGGAGAAACGGAGATCCTTGCAAGGAAAGCCCATCTCTAGATGGATTTGTAACAAGGAATATGATATGGTCTATACAACAGTTAATTTAGTCTCTCTAACAGACTGAGTGATGGCCTCATTTCACACTCTTTTTTGCAAAAAATGAATCTCTTTTTACATACTTTTTGGTAGTGTTGAGTTTATGTCAGAAGAAAGGTGGATATTACCGTCTACATTTCCTAAAGCATGTAGTGCATAACATTGTGTAACACACAAAAACCACACTCGGAGCTTTTCAAAAGAGGAACTTTTCAAAAGAGACAGGATCTTGTAGTAGCAACCTGAAGTTAACTGAAGCCGGAAACATCACCGTTTCCAATTCTTTGTCTGTATGCCAAGTATGCAGCTTATCTGATTCATAGTATGACTGTCCACATTTAGTTCTGAACAGGCATCCTCTGTAGTTCAAAAAATTTAACTTCTGGGCTTTTAAAAAGGAAGGCAAGTATAAAAGGGAGATATCTCACGAAAGGACTGGATTTCTCTGGGAGCTGAGCAAACATTTTTCTGGAAAATTCCTACTCAGAACAGCAGTGCTATCAAGTAGTACTTTTATGTCTTTTATTCAGATAATGCCTTTGTGCAGCGTTTGCTACTTTTTCACTCTTACAGCAGTAGTCAGAGAATAATGTTCATCAACTGCATGTTTGTTTCTTGCTCTCTTGGTGCTACCTAACTGCAATAGCTCTTGCCATTTTTTGTGTGTGTGCATATGAGTATTATTTGAATGAAGAAGTACAGTCATCAGTTCTGTTTTTTATTGGAAAAGATGAGATAGGAACTGCGAGTACCATTTCCTTGATGCTAAGTTTATATAGATTTTTTTTTCTTTATCACTCTGCTTCCTACATAGACCTAGATGGAAAATGCTGTC